TTCTTATTTTCTAATAACAAAGATAAAATGATGACAAAGATTTTTATCTTCGCCCACTTTGGCCTAAATGTCTGCCATTCTTTTTTATTTTATATTTTGTTACCTTGAAAGGCTTTTTTTTTTTCCTTTTTTTTTTGTACAAATTTTTTTTTACAGGCAACTTGCAAAATAGTAAAACCAACATGACAAAGAATCGTGATAAAATCGTGAATCGTGAAATTCCTGAATAAAATGGTGATATGATATTTTTGCCATATCTCCCACCCCTAACTTGTGCTACAACTGTTTGGCCTGTGCTACAAAACTTTCAACCTCTGTAGCACCAGTGCTATGTGCCAAAAAATTTAACGTACAGCCCCTGACAACATCATGTGGTTTGCGATGCTGATGACAGCCTTATTGTAAAGGAAAAATGGTCAGCTAACACACAGACTGCATAGACATGAAACTGTAGGTTACTGTGATATTGTGATAAACCGTTGTTTACACCGCTCTAGGAAACCGTTTCTTTGTTTAATGTATTTTAGGGTATATTTGATACTAAGAAGGTCTACTAAATGTCAGCAGTGTTATTACAAAGAGAGCAGTAGAGGCTTGACATTTTACTTATTTGACTTGCACTGTTTTCTGCATTTTATTTAATCTATAATGTTGCCACAACATTTGAGTTTCCAAACAACAGGGTGTTTGAATACACACACACACACACAAAATATTTGAGCATATCCTTTCACATGACCTCACATACTTGAATATCTGCATGTGGATCATATTCCCAAACTGTCTATTAAAGATATTAATCTGAAGCGCTGAACATTATCTTAAAGGGTTAGTTCACCCAAAAATGAAAATTCTGTCATTAATTACTCACCCTCATGTCGTTCCAAACCCGTAAGACCTCCGTTCATCTTCTGAACACAAATTAAGATATTTTTGATGCATTCTGACAGCTCTCTGACCCTCCCATAGACAGCAAGGATCCTTACACGATCAAGGCCCAGAAACGTAGCAAGGAGATTGGTAAAATAATCCACGTGACATCAGGGGTTCAACCGTAATTTTACGAAGCTACAAGAATACTTTTTGTGCGCAAAAGAAAAAAAAAAACTTTATTCAACAATTCGTCTCCTCCGCATCACCCTAGCGCCATTTTGGAGCCATTCTCGTAGCTTCGTAAAATTATGGTTGAACCCCTGATGTCACATGGATTGTCCATTTTTGGGTGAACTATCCCTTTAAGAATCCAAACTTTTACACTTTTAAACTTTTTTCTTTGGTTGAACACAAAATAAGATATTTTGAAAAAGAATGTTACAACTGTTTCTGTCCTTACAATTAAAGTCAGTGGGGTCCAAAACAACACTGGATCCCACAGACTTTCATTGTAAACCATTAGACAGAAATGTCTTATCCTAAGACAAAATAATCTTCTATGTGCGATCGCAAATCTCGAAAGTTAAAGTAAAAAGTGATCGTGCATTCGAATATTAATAGTGGCTCCCTGATGCCCGCATTTTATATACAGTATAATTACCCAACGATATAATTGCGACAAAGAGTATTGAAATATATATTTTCCCTGTGTTTCCTTCATGCTGTGTGAGCTACTGAAATGAGCCGCACTGTGAAACAGCCAATCACTTTCATTGTAAACCATTAGACAGAAATGTCTTATCCTAAGACAAAATAATCTTCTAAATGATACATCTTCCATGAAAAACAACTCGTTTAGTCCAGAAGCCTTAATTTGTGTATCAGAAAACAGGCTCTAAGAATAAACTCAATGAGATTAGAGCTGTGGGCATTGTGAGGGTCTGTTACAAAAGGTCTGAAATGCTCTCTAACCCTTTCTAACTAATCTAATCACACTAACAAAGAGTGCTCTTGATATCATTCTTTTGTCACCTGTTAAAGGTGCCATAGAATGGAAAACTGTATTTACCTTGGCATAGTTGAATAATAACAGTTCTGTACATGGAAATGACATACCGTGAGCCTCAAACACCATTGTTTCCTCCTTCTTATGTAAATCTCGTGCATGCACTGAAAAATAGGCGAATCAGAACATAACACCGAGCAGAGCTCAACATTATTATTCATGACCCTTCCAAATAAGGTAAAAACAGGCCATTTCATTCTAGGGACAAATCCTAGGGTTGTAAATGGACATGTAAAACCGTTTCTGAAGATTGTTTGCCATTACCTAAGCCACATACCTTCAATGTAGATGTCAGAGAACAATTTAAAATATTGTATCAATGCATTCTATGGCACCTTTAATAAGAAATTCAGTTCCTCTCATCTGCCAAAGCAATGCAGTATTATCTGTTTTAATCTTGTCGCCATTTTCTCGCATATGGAGTGATCTGTGTGTGAGTGATTTGAGCAAAATGTGAACTAGGTCTTTTTATAGATCACTGATGTGGATGTTTTTGAGTCTGTGATCCCTGTCTGACCCATGTGCATACCAAATGCTATAATTTGTTCAGTCTTTGCATATATGGATCTAGAGTTGCTGCTACCATGGCTGGCATGCAAACCAGCCTGAAATGATGCAGCAGACATGACTGACAGATGTTAGGAGGCTTTCCTAGAGTCCATATGTGTGTCTGTATATGAATGTCTATTTTAAGTCAGAGGGGTAAAAGAGAGCTTGGTCATCAGCTTTCATTTCACATGTTCGTACAGAGTAGCATCCAAATCAAACTCTGATTTAAACCTGAAAGTTTTACAATTTTGAGAAATGTTAGTGAAACATAAAACGAATAAGAAATGTTGTAGATTCTGCACTATTTCTGGGTCACTAATTAACTAAGTACATCTGTGACATTGACCATGTGACTTACAGATGGTCAGATGTTCTTACTGTCTGGATCATCTCAAATCAAGCTTGAGAACATGAAGATCAGGTTTTGTGCAAACTTGTGGAGTTATGTTTATGAAAGAAGTCTCTTATGCTCACCAAAGCAGCATTTATTTGATCAAAAAGATAGTAATCAATGTTCAAATCTGTTTGGCTACTTAATATTTTTGCGGAAAACATGCATTTTTCCCCAGGATTCTGAAAGAAAGTTCAAAAGAGAAGCATTTATTTGAAATATAAATCTATAAAAAAGTATTACATTTCATTAAAAAAAAAAGTTATACTGACTGGAACATTATTTTGTATATATATAGTATTCCATTTTCTCTGGAAAAATAGATGTGAAAGAATGTGGATAGGTCTAGTTTGCTGTCCATACAGGACTGTCTTGAATTGAAAACTCAGTGTGCTGAAAAAAGTTGGGGTGGAGCAGGAATGCCACAAGATTTATGGTAAGGAATGAGGTAAGAGCTGTTTATACTTCCTCAGCATTGTGATTGGTGGATTAATATGAACATGCTTCTCCTGAAACCTCTCTAAGGAGACTGTGTGAAGTCACAGGCAAAGCCTCACCTGTCCATTCAGATGAAAACAAATCAGAACATAACCAATAAGGACATATGATCTCGCTCAGCTCACAACTTTGTTCCTGTTGAGCTGACTGGCAGGACAAACTTACTTCTTAATGTTAATGTAACGTAGTTTGTAGATCGGGAAGAAGGAGGCGGGAACCGGCGAACATTCAAAGAAACTTTAATAATAAAATAAACACAAAATAGCGCGAGAGCCCCTCGCGGACGACTGTCGCGCACAAAAGAAACCCCAGGCCTGGTCCTCTCTCGTCCGACACGGTCGTCACTCCTCCCTTTTATCCTTCCGGAGCTCCTCCGTGAGACTCGAGATCTGGCAGACTTCTCCGCTCCCTCACGGACGGCAGCCACCCCACCTCGACCCAGGAGCGCGGCAGCGAGCTCTCCGTCCCACCTCGTCTTCCATAGTTCCAGCACCACCGCCTCGGGCAGCCACCGGCGGTCTCTCCACTTGTTCCTGCTGCCCGATCTCCTCAGCACCGCGATCCCCCTCAGCAGCGAGGGCTCTCTGACAGCGTGTCCCTCCTTCCTCCCGGGTTTCGGCACCAATGTAACGTAGTTCGTAGTCACGGGAAGAAGGAGGCGGGAACCGGCGGACATTTAAACAAACTTTAATAAAATAAACAAACACAAAATAGCGCGACAGCCCCTCGCGGACGACTGTCGCGCACAAACAAAACCAAAACACAAAATAAACTCCAGGCCTGGTCCTCTCTCGTCTTTCACTGTCGTCCCTCCTCCTTTTTATCCTTCCGGAGCTCCTCCGTGAGACTCGAGACCGGTGAGTGGTGCAGGTGTCGCTCATTATCAATTACTCCACCGGCCTCGCTCCGTTCCCACGGCTCTCGGCCCCAACCCTCTCGTCACAGTTAATATGAACCAATAGACAAAGAAAAATACACATGGACAGAGACTTTTTAGACAGTGGGATGCAGCAGGAAGAGCTTTGTCTGTGCTGAGCAAACAATGAAAAAAAAGTATGACTTAGGCCTATTTATATATACTTTGTCAGACCACAAAGAGTCATGCATAACATCTGACCACACTTCAGTCAGATTGGCAAAGGAAATCCAGCAGAAACTTGTGAATTTCAACACTTCCCCATAGTGAAAAACTAGTTTACTGGTCTTCCAGGCTGGCTTTAGGTGGGTTTTGAGGTCGGTTGTTTTGCTGGTCCAAGTCATTTGCTGCTTTTTAAACCTCCATATAGCCAGCTGGTAAGTGGTTTATTGGACTAGATAGAAACCTATATTTTACAGCATTATACCTGTTCCTCCTCAAATTAATGTTTAGAATGAGCTCAAGTAATTATAATTAAATACATCATTTACATTTTATTCTAGAATTCGCCAGAATAACCCTAAAAAACTATGTAAACCCAAAATAAATCAACGAGTCAAAGTACAACGAATTGTCAGAAGTCTTTCCAGGTAACGTTAAAGCAAACACTAGGCAATCAGTTTTCAGTGTCAAGTGACGAAGGAAGCACTGTAAACAAAGTGAATGTATGGTAAATAGTGCGGTAAATAAGGAGGGTTTATACCCCGCCCTGGGAGGAGTGGATGCATCATAAGCAGATCTGGAGACAGGCAGGATGTGAACGCGCTCTCGCGCAGCTGGAGCTGAAAGATGATGATGACTTTGACAAAGATAAAGGCAGAACTTTGGTATTAGATCAGTTCGGTTCCAGTCATTGTCCGCTGAGTTTTGATAGCAAGAAGTCCGCTTTAACTTTAATGTTTTGTGACGAGGAGAGCGACACGGAGTCGTCCGCGTGCGGGTGAGTTTTGACGTTAGCAGGTCCGCTAAAACACTCCTTTTTATTTGCTTTACAGATTTGTTTAAATAAAGGTGTAAACGGGCTCTTTACAAATTCTGTTTCAGCGAAAGTTAATGTGTCTGGTGGGTGTCTTTTCGGCATTTTACCGGTCAGAAGTAAAGTTAGTTTGGTTGTTAGTTAGTATCCCTTCGGCGGCGTCACCTGGGTGAGAGGTACAGTCACAGATTGCATATCATAGTTAAAATAGTAAACCGCTTCGGGAAATACATGCAACCGGTAGGCTGATTCAGATAAATAAATAGGCTACTCAAAAACAGTCTAAATTTAGTCACTGCCATGGTTCGTGTTATTGGAAGCTGTTTTTATTCATGCTTACGTGTGTCTAGTGTGTACAATATCTATGTTATATTTTATAATGTAAGGTTGGTATGAATAGTAGATTACTATTAACGGATATCAGCTCTTTACCATTTTCAGTTTCACATTCTGTAATTTGAATGAATCCTCATTAGGTTGTACTTGTGGTCTTTGTCATCAAGTTGTGACCTGCCTGATCATGTCTGTAGGCTACAAGGGGTTCATTTACTGACAGTTGGTTTGGTGTAACTGTGGGTTTAGTACAGCTACAGCTCATTGAATTCATAGTATGAACAGGAACATTCTTCTCATAAAGTGTATAATTTACTGTCATAACTATCATATCTCAATTGCCTTTTAACTAAGTACTTTGCACAGTTTTATGGTTTGTGTGCCTTGTTGTTTGCATGTAGTTTGGTTTTGATTCCTGCATACAGTCAGGTTGAAAGGGAAGGGAAATGTCAGTTAAATTAAAACAGTTTTAGGGAATCGAATGACAGCTGTTCAGTTAAAATGCATTAAATGACCTTTAAACTTCCAGTTCCAGCTCTCTATGAATCCAGCCTAAACAAGAATTCATAATGTAACTTAAGATTTTTCCTCTCATTTACAGCTTCCTTATTCCCCTAAGCTTTATTTGTTGTTACAGTTGTAAGTTAGAAATTATATTAAGTGTTTGCTTTCATCAGTGATGCTTTGTAACCTAAATGTATTCAGACTGTTCCCTGAAGGGGCTGAAAGTGCAGACGAAGATTAGATCAGTGGCCACTTCCAGGAATGTTTTTTAAGACCTGTTTGATTCTGAATGCCCTTTCTCAGAGAAGGATAAATTGATCCTGGAAAAAAGAAAGTCATCCTTATGGATTAACATGAGTGACCATGTACTAGGAAATAACAGTAATGACCAGTCAAGAAAATGTATTTTTCATTTTTATGATTGGTTATGGTGGCACTTTTGCTTGGCGTTGGGTGAGCATGCCATACCAGAAAACTAATGTGAAACTTTGTGCATTAATGTCTTTAGATAATTAAATTACAGTTAAGTGCAATATGTGCAGTGCCAATCTGTTCTATACATTATAATGTGAATGTGATTTTTATCAAATGTTGTAAATTCTTTATGCAACCACGTTTTTTAGCGCGTTGTTACAGGAAGAGCACAGTTTGGATTCTGACACATTCTGACTACCACGGTCAAGATCGCCTGTAGATTTGCGTTGTAATATTGCGTGTTGTGTTTTCAAAATCATTGCTGTTTGTTTTATTATTATTAATGTACCAGTGTTATTTTACTCACATTTGTCAAAAATGTTTTAATTAAACATTTGACCTCCCCAAGTACTCATGTTTGTTTTATTGATCTTTTGAGTACTCGAAAGGAAGCATTGACAAAAAAACTATTAATATTCATAATATTACAACTTTTCTGTACTATCTAATAGTTTCACACTCGTAATATATCCTTCTGTTTAGTGATCACAGAAGCTCTGATTGGAAGCCTCTTAAGATGTTTAAGCAGACAGAATTTTCATTTTTGGGGGGAACTATTCGTTGAATTGCATGACGTTTGGACATTGAGAAAGACCGCAAATGTTGCTTTAACCTTATTACTGGTAACCATTTACAGCCTGTCCTTCCTCATTAACAAATGGTTTTAACTGTGGAGTCAGAACGAGTTTCATTCCTGCCTGGGTTTCACTAGCGTGTAGAATGTTAGCCTGAGAGATTGCATGCTCTTAGGGAATGTAGCCTACAGTCTTCTTCAAGTATGTGCTTGAGCTTAGCACAACCCCCAGATTAGGTTTTTTAGGTTGTGGCAGTGCATTTGGCTTGGAAAAATTGAAGTACAGTTTCTTGCATCAATGATTTCCTTTGTATATTAAATGTTGCTTAAATTTTAGCACTCCAAAACATTTTAGAATTAATGAAGGAGCACATGTTTTCTATTCTTGTACTTCTCAAGTCATTGTGCTGAACAGGAGTAGGAAGACCAGGTGCATCACAGTGTGCATCAGTGGGGTTTTTGACTAACTAGGGTAAATCCCTTGGAGTTAGACTCATTATACATTTCCATGATGACTCAAGGAATGTCCTTCAGTGTAAGCTTGTGCCCCCAAGGTGTTAGTCTCATTTTACCCATTTAAACATAAGCATTTTTAAAGTAAACTACAGAATGTGTTAAAGATTTAGAGGCTTGTCTTTTGAGAAAACCCTGCAGTCAGTCAGTTTCTTACAGGGGGTTGGGGGGCTTCCTGCATGTAGTGGCGTTCCTCAGAAGTGTCCTTTAAGATCTCTCGCACTCTTTCATGTCACTGTGTTTTGGTCACTTGTGTTCCATTTAGCCGCCACATGGGAAAACTCCACCCAACTCCACCCCAGATAATTAGTTTCAGTGATAGAGAATTCTCCCTCTTCCAGGAATCCTACTGAGTGCCTGAAGAGACTTCAGATACATTATACTGTTAAAGGGGAGGTGATAGACTGGTAATGGCCTTGTTTTTGTTTCACACTGCCAAGCTGTATATGTAAAAGATAAGCTTAAATAATTTTTGTTCACATTTCTTCCTTCACAAATACACTACCATTCAAAAGTTAAAAGCATTCAATTGATCAAACGTGTCTGTGAAATGTTCTATTCATCAACAATAAAAAAAAAACTTTTCACAAAAATACTTTAACACATCTGTTTTCAGCATTGATAATAATAAGAAATGTTTCCTAAGCAGCAAATCAGCATGTTAAAATTAAGGCACTGAAGACTGGAGTAATGACTGCTGAAAATTCAGCTTGGTCATCACAGGAATAAATGACATTTTAAAATATATTAAAATAGAGAACAGTTATTTGAAATTGCAAATATATTTCACAGTATTACTGTATTTTTGATCAAATAAATGCAGTCTTTAGCAGCATGGTAGTCGTCTTTTAAAAACATTACCTCACCGACCCCAAACTTTTGAATGGTATAATGCTTAGTCATTTGGACCTGCTTTTTTGTCCATCTTTTTGAGTCCGTTGGTTTGGGGATCATGTTTTGAGGGTGTTTGACCTATACAGAAATGAGTTTGTGACCTTTTTTTCAGAGACACTCTCTTAAAAATGATTTAATTCACATAAACGTCTTGCATGACCATGCACCTGCGCCCAGGTAGTTCATCACAGAGTGGCCGGCTTGCTTTTTGTTTAACCCCAAACATTATTATTCATCTCTTACAACAGCAGTGGACTGGAAGTCACACATAAATGATCATCAGTGAGTGGGTGTATATATAGACAGTGCTTTTAATCTTAACTGGAGCTATATATAGTGTGCTCTGTTCTCATTCATACATGCAGGCACACACATGTTACATATTGGTTCTGTTTCTTGTTCATATGCACTGATTTGTTGACTAAAACAGTAGTTTTCAGCTAGTTGGTCACTGGTCTATTTATTGGGTATGCGGGCAGTGCATAATTAGCTGCATTTTGTATTTAGCATAGTTTGGTTGGCAAAATAAATAGACGTTTTAGGTTTTAAAAGTGTTGGTAAGCACAACATCAAAGGATTTGCATCCAATCAAACTTTGAGATTTCTCTATATATTCATCTGAAATGTTACAAATTGGTCAGATGCGTGACACCCGTTCGTCACTTGTGTTCCATTTAGCCGCCACATGGGAAAACTCCACCCAACTCCACCCCAGATAATTAGTTTCAGTGATAGAGAATTCTCCCTCTTCCAGGAATCCTACTGAGTGCCTGAAGAGACTTCAGATACATTATACTGTTAAAGGGGAGGTGATAGACTGGTAATGGCCTTGTTTTTGTTTCACACTGCCAAGCTGTATATGTAAAAGATAAGCTTAAATAATTTTTGTTCACATTTCTTCCTTCACAAATACACTACCATTCAAAAGTTAAAAGCATTCAATTGATCAAACGTGTCTGTGAAATGTTCTATTCATCAACAATAAAAAAAAAACTTTTCACAAAAATACTTTAACACATCTGTTTTCAGCATTGATAATAATAAGAAATGTTTCCTAAGCAGCAAATCAGCATGTTAAAATTAAGGCACTGAAGACTGGAGTAATGACTGCTGAAAATTCAGCTTGGTCATCACAGGAATAAATGACATTTTAAAATATATTAAAATAGAGAACAGTTATTTGAAATTGCAAATATATTTCACAGTATTACTGTATTTTTGATCAAATAAATGCAGTCTTTAGCAGCATGGTAGTCGTCTTTTAAAAACATTACCTCACCGACCCCAAACTTTTGAATGGTATAATGCTTAGTCATTTGGACCTGCTTTTTTGTCCATCTTTTTGAGTCCGTTGGTTTGGGGATCATGTTTTGAGGGTGTTTGACCTATACAGAAATGAGTTTGTGACCTTTTTTTCAGAGACACTCTCTTAAAAATGATTTAATTCACATAAACGTCTTGCATGACCATGCACCTGCGCCCAGGTAGTTCATCACAGAGTGGCCGGCTTGCTTTTTGTTTAACCCCAAACATTATTATTCATCTCTTACAACAGCAGTGGACTGGAAGTCACACATAAATGATCATCAGTGAGTGGGTGTATATATAGACAGTGCTTTTAATCTTAACTGGAGCTATATATAGTGTGCTCTGTTCTCATTCATACATGCAGGCACACACATGTTACATATTGGTTCTGTTTCTTGTTCATATGCACTGATTTGTTGACTAAAACAGTAGTTTTCAGCTAGTTGGTCACTGGTCTATTTATTGGGTATGCGGGCAGTGCATAATTAGCTGCATTTTGTATTTAGCATAGTTTGGTTGGCAAAATAAATAGACGTTTTAGGTTTTAAAAGTGTTGGTAAGCACAACATCAAAGGATTTGCATCCAATCAAACTTTGAGATTTCTCTATATATTCATCTGAAATGTTACAAATTGGTCAGATGCGTGACACCCGTTCATCCTCAAAAGCCATTAACCAAACTATGCAATGTTAAAGAAAATATGACTACGTTAGATACAGGTTCAAATGCATTGAGGGTAAACATGGTTCGTGCATAAACAATAAATCACTGACCACTGAGAACAGAAAACTATTGAAACTCGAGACATTTAAAAAACAAAATTGCTAATTTTCCTATTCAGCATATGTCATCTGTACAGTTTTGCATATTGTTGGACTTATGATTGTAAGGATTTTCTGTTTAGTTTTGTACAGTGTGCACCTTTTCTGTGTGTTGTGTTGGGTCATTAATTGTTGAACCATATGTCATTGTTGGGTTACCAGTTAAGTGATTTAATGCAAGTTTTTCCTAATGAGTGAATTAAATACTTAAATTTTGATTTTCTCTTTTTATTTAGAACTTGCCAAAGCAAGAGAATAAGTTTGGCATCAGTACAGAAATGGCTTCATATCTTGTAAAAATGGAGTAAAGACATGAAAGCTAATGTAATACCCATAGTTCCATCTCTGAAATTGTGAAAACAACCATACATGCACACCTGTAACAGCACATCGGTTGAATTCTATATGAATGCATATATGAACGCAAGTTGTGATGTTGTTTGGCAGCTATAGTCAACTCCGCTCTGCTTTGCATTTTGCCTAAAGACAGAACAATGGATTCTTCCTTGTTTTGACTTGTTATGGACATGTCGAGGATGCTCTGTAAATTCTCATGACATTTACATTCACCTTTTCTCATGCGCAAAAAAATCTAAATCCATCCTGCCTGCTGATAGTTGTGCAAAAATACAAATAAATACTCTTTACACACAAATGCATCTACAGCAGTAGCACGAAATATCTACCACCGCATGCTGTATTATCCTATTTTTTGGCATTGCCTAGTAGTTGCTATGGTTTCTGCTTTGGATTTTGCACACTGTTGCTTAAGTTCCTTTCCTGACCAACAGCAAGATGATTAACCAACAAGTTGGTTGGTTTTACAAACCAGGAAAGTTCTTTCACAATCATAGATGAGCTAGATCGTTAAAGTGAACAGTTAATTTAGTTAAACTTTTTTTTTTTTATATATACTTTTATTTATTTTTTTAATACAGATTTTCTGTTTTAGTACACACAAATAGAGAACGTAAACCAAAATATCGACAAGGAGACACTCACATTCACAGAGAAAAAAGAAAAAAAAAAGATTGCAGTAATAAAATAAAATACAAAAAATTAACAATGAACGACAACAGTTACATGAGGTCTTACAAGAAATCAAGAACCGCATGGTACAGATAGAAGTTGAGGTCCACTTTGGAAGTCTAGCCATTGCTTGTTTGAAGTATATTACAATCCCATTTCCTCCAATAATTTCCCCGTTAGTTCTTCTGTAACCAGAGAGAGAAGGTCATTTTTTCCATAGATCATATTTGACTGACAATACTTAGAAGATCCATTTTGGAAGGGCTTCTCTTGAGCCAACTTCTAGTTACTGCTTTCTTACATGCAACTAAAACATCTTCAAGAGATAATTATCACACTTATTCAAACCCTCCAGACTCCGGAGTGATCCCTAGAAACATAATGGCAAATGACAAAATCTATGTTATATATACTTTTATTTATTTTTTTAATACAGATTTTCTGTTTTAGTACACACAAATAGAGAACGTAAACCAAAATATCGACAAGGAGACACTCACATTCACAGAGAAAAAAGAAAAAAAAAAGATTGCAGTAATAAAATAAAATACAAAAAATTAACAATGAACGACAACAGTTACATGAGGTCTTACAAGAAATCAAGAACCGCATGGTACAGATAGAAGTTGAGGTCCACTTTGGAAGTCTAGCCATTGCTTGTTTGAAGTATATTACAATCCCATTTCCTCCAATAATTTCCCCGTTAGTTCTTCTGTAACCAGAGAGAGAAGGTCATTTTTTCCATAGATCATATTTGACTGACAATACTTAGAAGATCCATTTTGGAAGGGCTTCTCTTGAGCCAACTTCTAGTTACTGCTTTCTTACATGCAACTAAAACATCTTCAAGAGATAATTATCACACTTATTCAAACCCTCCAGACTCCGGAGTGATCCCTAGAAACATAATGGCAAATGACAAAATCTATGTTAAAGCCTATTACCCTAGATATTAATTGTCCCGCCCTTCCTCAAAAAGATTGAATAAGTGGACATAACCAAAAAATGTGGGCAGAGTCAGAACCGTTTGTAAAGGGCTAGTGAAAGGATCAGTGTGAGTCTTTAGTCTGTTGATGTGAGGTGGAGAGAGATTCAGTTCACTGTTTACACCGCAAATGTAGTGTTAATTATTAATAAGAGACTTCACCTCCTGTGGACTCTTTAGCTACTTGGTGCACTTACGGTTAGAGAGAAGAGGAGCAAATGCACTAAATGTCTGGATTGTTCTCATCAGTGCCCTCAAAAGTACTTTATGCCCTGGACATGGCTTTGAAATGTTTATAACGTTTAGACATTGTTTGTTGTTCATTTGTAGCTTACGACAATTAAACTCTTTTTTTTTTTTTTTCAGCAAAATATTGAAATTCTAGGTTAATTTTAAATCAAAAAATAATTTGTTTATATATTACGATGAAAAAACTATTTGTGTGTGTTTTTTATATATATATATATATATACAGTGGGTACGGAAAGTATTCAGACCCCCTTAAATTTTTCACTCTTTGTTATATTGCAGCCATTTGCTAAAATCATTTAAGTTAATTTTTTTTCCTCATTAATGTACACACAGCACCCCATATTGACAGAAAAACACAGAATTGTTGACATTTTTGCAGATTTATTAAAAAAGAAAAACTCAAATATCACATGGTCCTAAGTATTCAGACCCTTTGCTCAGTATTTAGTAGAAGCACCCTTCTGATCTAATACAGCCATGAGTCTTTTTGGGAAAGATACAACAAGTTTTTCACACCTGGATTTGGCGATCCTCTGCCATTCCTCCTTGCAGATCCTCTCCAGTTCTGCCAGGTTGGATGGTAAACGTTGGTGGACAGCCATTTTTAGGTGTACCCACTGTATATATATGAAGTATAAATATATGAAATATAATTTTTTTAAATTTGTCAACTGTTGTCATGTTCTTATGAAAAAAATCATAAGCCTGATATATTATATGTGTGCTTTTAGTGGTTTCATTTTCGATTTCAATTTGTCACTTTGTTGGTGAGTTTCATTGTGGATATGAAGACATTTGTGTGGAGTCACAGTGGAAGAGGGTGTGAAGGGAAGAGAGAGTTCTTTGCTAATAATCTCAGATTTTGTTTAGCTTTAGTCACTCAAAGATAAAAGCTGGTCATTTCAAGCAAGGCCAACAAATAATTGAGCTCAGACCACCTGGACTAATCCTCAAGTGTGAACAGACTCTGTTTATTCTTGCTGTTTCAGGCTCTTATGTTCCCTCAGATCTTCCATGTATCCATTATTATGGCAGCAGCAAAACATGTTTGTTTTTCTTTCTCCCCAGATCTGGATTTCCTCTCCACATCATCCCTGTTTCTGTGATTCACTCTGTTAGTGTGTCAGGATGGGCTAAAAACAATTGCTAGCAGCTGCGCACCATACACCTGGACCCTCCACAGTCACACCTGTGCACAGGTAAACAGGTACACACTGGCCCTGAGTAATTATTTCAGCTGAGAAAAAACTATTCTTATTGCATCATTGGTTGTATACAATGTTTAGTCATAATTCACTAAAATACCTTTTAAATGGTTTATAATTTAATTCAGGAATATTGGACATTATGCATTTTTCAAGTCAAAACATAAAGATAATGCCGTTTCTTGTTGGAAATCAATGTCTCTCTGTCATTGACTGGCTCCTATGTAGTCTTTAAATCACCACTGATCCCAGAGGCCAACTGGCTCATGAGGCCACTCTAAATTTAGTCCTTTATGTCGTACCTGCAACGCTAGACTACCTCTAAACTCGCATTCAGCTCTGTTCCATAGGAAATACTAGGCCTTATACTGGTATCCCTTAGAGAGTTATAGCGAAGGGTGTGGGTTATACAAAGAATAAGACGGGAGTGAGCGGAAAGTGGGCTAGGATAGAGCAGAAAGAGAATGGAAAAGTAAGCTGAACTGAAGAATGTGTAGTTGAATAAATGAGAGAAACCATGTGCAACAGAGCAGAGGGGTTGCTGGGAGACAAATGCAACGAAACAAGAGAAAGTGGGAGGAGATGGTGAAAGAGAAGCAACAGATGGATGAGAAAATGACATGTTCAGGTTAAATAAAAGAAGTAATATTAGTCTTCAATAAGTGTGAATTGTCCGAAATGAAACCTTTCTCATATTGTTGGAATTTTAAATGGCAAAATTATTCCAAGTCGTCCCAAATAAAGTGTTCTTTATGCAATTGTGTGTTAACTCTCATATAGAGTTAAACGTAAAGAGGTTCACGTGGTTTAATTTTAGCATGCCGTTCTAAAATTAAACCAGCCAGGCTTGAAATGGGGCCAAGTCCTTCAAGTAAATGATAGCTTTGTGTCCACCGCTAGTTTGTCTTGATTTGCACTTACTATTAGCATGCAGTACTCAAACACTTTAGTTGCCAACACATGCACAAACAAACTCTGAAGCATTGCACGTTTTATCATCAAACAGGATTTGCTTTATGGTTATCTGTGTGGCATTCATTTTTTGGGGGCATGTGGTTGAGTAGAAACCTTTCTGAAACTGTCAACTAAACAGTTCTGGTGAGAGATGCTTGAAGAATCTATCCTAGGAAATGGAAACTGTTTGGATGATCTACATATATAATGGAACGGTTTAGGGCTGCACGATAAATCGCATGCGATATTTAACGCGCATCTTGTCAGTAAAGCCATTCTGTAATCAGCGGTAAATCTCCATCACGTGCGTGCTTTCACACGGAGCAGCATTACCTACACAGAGCCGTTGTTCACTGACAAGCTGCGCAAAACATGCGCAAAATATGATCGTGATTTTGCGCAGCTTGTCAGTGAACAACGGCTCTTTACCGCTGATTAAAGAACCGGCTTTACTAACAAGATGTGCGTTAAATATCGCATGCGATTTATCGTGCAGCCCTAATTAATATGCATCTCTCTGTCCTTCTTAAGGAAAAGCACACAGTCCTATCAAACGCAGCCTGTTGGCAAAGTTTGGCTCTACAACAGATCTTATGGTTACTTTAAAACGCTTTTCAGTGTAATAACGTAATCACAATAGATTAAAACAATTAGTCTGACCAACATTTTAATATCTAAAACGACCATCTAAGCAATTAAGCATTAGTAAGACCATTAAACCAGTGGTTGGCATGGCAATGCGCGTTAAATATCACATGCGATTTATCGTGCAGCCCTAGAATGGTTCCTTTTTCTTCCCTATTAACAAAAATGTTAAACCTCCAAGAGGCAAGGCAAGTAAAAAATAATTGAAACTAGCTGCGCAGTTATAATCCGATATTATCTTGTAAAGTGCTGTTGGTCAATCACATCTTTAGTGTGCTAGTGTTTCCTCCCATAAATGTCTTTACTGTCACTTTTGATCAATTATCATCAGAATTAATGCATGCTTGCTGAATAAAGTATTTAAAAAATGCATATGCCACAAATACAGTCAGTATCACTACAGTGACAGCATTTAATGGGAACCAATCTGTATTCAGCTCTATCTGTAATTTGTGAACTAAAAAGTCACGCATTGGCTCATAAAAGTTTAAGAACCAATGGCTTCCTAGTTATTTTTTTTAGTCTGTAGTCCTGAAAGTAGTCCCTCACAGGTCCTCATCTATGTTATTTTTTGTCTCTGCTGTTTAGGTGGTGAGTCTCGACACCATGCAGGGACCTCGGAGGAAGGTGAAGGTCATGGTGATGATGACAATGGTGTTCATCTTCATAGTGGTGGAGGTCTCTCGCAATGCTGGGAAGGGTGACGGCAACAAAAATAAGCAGCTGGTTCCCACGAAGCGTTTCTGGGCAAAAGATCTCCCCAGTGACGCCTACTGGAATCGCCGGCAGCAACAGCTGAACTACATCAACAATCGCAACCTAGAAAAGCTCAACTTCACGATTGATAAGCTTCCAGACTGGCTAAACGACACAGTCAGTCTGGACTCCTGTGAGCCGGACTTCAGGGTGACCACCCAAGTCAAGGATTACAACTCGCTACCGGATCGCTTCAAGGACTTTCTGCTTTACATGCGCTGCAGGTCCTATCCCATCGTGATGGATCAGCCAAACATATGCAAAGACCCACCGTTCCTCCTCCTAGCTATTAAATCTTTAGTCCCGCACTTTGATCGACGTCAGGCCATCCGTGAGTCGTGGGGCAAAGCTGGCCTCCTTGCAAACAGAACGGTCATTACGGTGTTTCTTCTTGGAAATGCAGCCACGGAGGACCACTTTCCTGATCTCTCGAAGATGCTTCTCCATGAGAGCTCCATACATGGAGATATTCTTCAATGGGACTATAGGGATACCTTCTTCAACCTCACCATCAAGGAAGTGCTTTTCCTGGAATGGCTGAACACCCGCTGTCCTGGAGTCAGTTACGTCTTCAAGGGCGATGACGATGTTTTTGTTAACACCATCCGCATTATAGACTTCCTAATCAATCTTTCTCATGCCAAAGCCAAGGACCTGTTTGTAGGAGATGTGATTACCAACGCTGGTCCACACCGGGACAAAAAGGTCAAGTATTTTATCCCGGAAAGCATGTTCGTTGGAACGTACCCTGCTTATGCGGGTGGGGGCGGTTATTTGTTCTCGGGACAGCTGGTCCAGAAACTTCATAACGTCTCGAGGTTGGTGCCCCTCTACCCCATCGATGATGTCTACACAGGTATGTGCCTTAAGAAACTGGGCCTTGCTCCTGAGAAGAACAAAGGCTTCAGGACCTTTGATATCGAGGAGAAATATCGCGATAATGCCTGTGCCTATAACAGCCTGATGCTGGTCCATCCCAGAAATCCTCAACATATGATTAAAATCTGGGCCTGGCTGAATGACCCAGCTTTGAACTGTCAGTGAACTGCTGATCCAGGGTTTTGGCTGCTTTAAAGGGACAGTTCACCCAAAAATGCTAATTCTGTCATCATTTACACACCCTCATGACATTTTAAAACCGTATGATTGACTTTCTGTCTTTTCTTTCATTCGTTTGACCAGAAAAACGCTGTCACGGATCCCCTTTTTTTTGGTCCCCATTGACTTTCATTATATGGACGTCTTTTGTGTTCTGCAGTTTGGGACAACATGAGATAAAATTGTCATTTTTGGGTGAACTAGCTCTTTAACATTTTACCATTGTTCTACTGTGATTTTATTTAGCATCTTTATGTACTTCATTTCATGTCAAAGGTCAGAAGCGATGATGAGCTCTTTAGATGTATATATTTCAAATGTAGCTCTAAATTGCTACCACATAGTATTTCAAAGGCTTGACTTTGTGTCAACAAATTCTGCTGATAATGTTACAAGTAGTTATACAGTGCAGAGCACTGGGTGTGAGATCAGCGGTGCTGAGGATTGTGGGAAATGTAGTTCAGCTGGTCTGAAGATGGCACAGACGATACACAGCACACCTGAGCATAAATATCTGTTGATCATTTTGATAAAATGTGGTTTCTTTTTCTATAGGAGAATTATGTTGCATTATGCTAAAGTGAACAGACATGTTTGAACACTCTATGCAGCCATCACAAGCCAAATCCATACTTGCTGCTCTAGTTCTCTGTAATGTGTATAGGAACATTATATTGCCTTCCTGTTTATATTATATTTCATATTGCCACAGCCCATGCTCTTTTAGATTAATGAGAAGTTGGCTCATTTTAGAGCCCTATTTGTGGGGACAGGGATTTTGGATACCAGCTAAATATAGGTTGCCTACCCAAACCTCTACATGTGTGCTTTTGACTTCATGCATTACTGGCTCTTTTCCTTCTAGATCACTTATTCTTTTTCAGGAGCAGACAATCAGTTGCAAGTCATAAAGCTTTGTATTAACAGATTAGCCAAACTGGGTCATTGCGTCAAAGAAATGTTTAAAATGTACAAAATCATTAACTCCTTTGCTGAAAAACCAGACGATGTGCTTGCTCCCCTCTCAGATCTGATTGTTTTGGTCAAGAGTTTTGGTCAAGCTTGCAAATCTGAGATAAGAAATTTCAGAGATATGGGTTTCGTTTTCCATTTAAAATCCAGGGATCCCACAATTGACCTTCTTAAGAGGCCAGGAAACTGGTCTCAGCTGGATGACTTAATTACTGAATTTTACACAGTGGCCCCCAACTAAGTTACAGTGACCCCTGCTGGTCTGCATATGTTATTCTTTTTTTTCTTTTTTCTTTTTTCTTTTTAAATAAACACTGGACTTTTTTTCAAATTTGTCTTAAGCTTGATTGAATATGCCAGTCAACTAGAAATATATTTTTTCTGTGACCGTTCACCATCAACTGTGTCTCATATTAAAGTCACTTAGGCCTAGTAATTTCCTAGGGTGTGCTGAATATATCCGCTCTATAAATATAATCTGTTACTCTTCATTCTGCCTCATTGGTTACTTGCTGAAAAGCTAAATCAAGCTCGTGTCAGTGTCACAATTTGTAGTGTTTAATATTACGTTGTCCACCCAGCTATGAGGAATGAGGGCTAAGGATGTGTGATTTATATTGTCTCTCTGCTAACAGCAAGACAAGCACACCGTTTAACAGCCTGATGTAGTGTTTGGTGGGAGGAACAAAGTGTTTACATGAATTCATGAACGGTACAAAAAGCTTGTATTTATAAACTACAATTTTATCCATGAAAGGTAGATTATGCAAGTTTTTATACACTGGTATTTACTGTACTCCTGTGAGTTCTCAAACTCTTCAGGCCGTTGTTGTTACTCTTGCATCTGTGCATAACATTGAAGAAAACAAACTCTTATGTTGTTCACAACTGTGATGTTTAGAAATGTCTAGAAATTCTTTTAAAAAGCAATTTAGTTTCTTTTGTTACTGCCTTGAAAATAATTCTTTATTTCCATCATAAGATATTTGAATGTTAATATGATGCCTTAAATGTGGCTTTAGTTGTGCATGTATGTATATTTATGTGTATTTATGTTGACGTGTGTGTATAGGCTGAGGAGTATGATCATGAAAATCCAGTTCTAAAAATGAAATCATGATTCTTTTTGTATTTTTGAATTATCACTCAGTCATGTGTCTATATGGAATTTTTGGAACATTCATTTTATTTCACTTTTCCCTCACAAATATTTTTAGAACAGTCAAATGACTTTTTTTGCCACATTTATATGCTGATTATTTTCTGACAATGCCTCTTACCAAAAAACACATTGTGAACTACACAAACGTTATTACCAAAATGTGCCTGTTAATTCTGATTGTTAATCGTTGTCTGTCTTTTGTAATTGAATATGCACATTAGTTTATTTTCTCGTTTATGACTGCCCTTTTTTTTTTTTTTTAATTCATGTAATAAGTGGAATAAACTGATGTCTTGTACCTCTGTCATTCCTGTCTGAGTGTTTGTACTATTATACTTTTTTTTGTTCAGTTCTGCTATCAGATTTAATCTTATTAAAATTTGATAAATTACTTTTTTTTCTCTCTCTCTGCCCTACTTTTGTGTGTATAGCTGTAGTTTGTTTACCAGCAGAGGGCATCTTTGTTCTTTGTGTCTTATAGCATCAGTATGCCTGAGCTCTCCTGCTGTGGATAATTTTTGTCACTCCATTTTGTCTGACACATACATTATCAGTAATTTCTCAAAGCTGGATGTCACCCTCTTTGATTCACTATAGGTACTTTGTCATGATCAGTTCTGTGAAACTATCTTGTTCCAACATGCAGCGTAATTTCTCCTCTGACATTTAATTATAGCGGTGCTCACAAATCAACTGCGGCTCTGTAAGAGATCTAGAGCTCAGCTAAACACTGAATTTTCATACCTAACCGCACTTAACATGTTCTCTGTACTGCAAAAAGCACTAAATCTTATTCACACTTCTTTCTGTCATTTACTACCTGCTGAGATAACAATGCAGTACATGCACTTTCTTGTTGGTTGCTTAGAAAGAGAAAAAATAGCTTTGATGTAAATGTATATGGGTAGTCAAAATGACTACCATGTGTTGGACATTTCTTCTAACATTACGATTTTATGTAATCATGTATTTTTTTAAACTTGTGGAGTCCATCACAGCTTTAGTCATTAAAGCAAAAAGGAGACTAAATTCATGTATATTTTCAGCTTTTCACTCAAATTGATATGCTGATAGTATAAAATTACTTTACAGTTTAAAGGTTTGGGGTCGATTAATGAAAAATAATAATATTTTGAATTATTACTAATTAAAATAACTTTTTAGCAAAGCTGAATTTTCATCAGCCATTACTTCAGTCTTCAGTGTCACATGATCCTTCAGAAATCATTCTAATATGCTGATTTAGTCCACAAGAAACATTTTTTAATATAATCAAAGCAGTTGTGCTCATTAAGAATTTTGTGGAAACTGTTTTTCAGTAGGCCTATTCTCTAGTAAACAGAAAGTTCAAAAGACTGTTCAAGTGACTTATTGAGTGAGTCATTGAGTCATTCATTCAAACGATTCATTCAAGAATGAACCAAGTGGGTTACTGAATCATTGATTCGTTCGATACACTGAATCAGTTGGTAACGAAGCACTGCGTGTGTTGTTCAGACATGCGCGATTAAAGCTGTGATCTTTGGAACTATTTTCATTAAATCGAGTACAAACAGTAAGCATTGACTAAGTCTAAAATGTAAGTCACTTAATAGGCCTATTAACTACTTGTTTGAACTCTTACATAAAATCAATGTTAAATTTGCAGTCATGTTGCTTAACTAGGCTATATCATGTTATAAATATAAAAACTACATTTTTACCGCAGTATGTTTCTTCTGTGTGCAGTCCATTTATTTTGATTTCTTCACGAGATTCGTTCACACAGACAGGCTGCGTGGGCCTCAACTGCACGACCTTGTCACTGTCGGTACATTATCCATAGCCTAAATTGCCATTTGCACTAAATGTAACAAAATCAGAATCATTCTCGCTGAAATTTCCGTGCTTCCCTAATTAGATGTTTTAATCACGTTTGTTGTCCGGTCGGGCAAGTAAAATTCTCTTTCACGTGCCCCTTCAAAATATCCACTTGTCCCAGACAAGCATTAATGTCGAGCTCTGTTACTGTTACCCGACGAAGATGCCAGTAGGAGTGACTGTGTTACCCGCCACAGCTGAAATCGGCGGGTTGGCGGGTGTTAATGTCAAGCCCTGCTTATTAATATGTAGGCCTATACATTATCTTGTGGAGAGATGCTTTTAAGCAGGAAATCTCAAAGTGTGTATTATAAATGAAAAACTGCACTACCACACTCTCTTCTGACATCTTGTCCCTGAAGACATAGAAGGAGAGGACAGGTGAGGAGTTGCTATAGAGACTTTCTCTCTAGGGATGGAGAGGTGGGGGTTAGAATCAGGAGAGGATGAGTGTAAATGTGTGTGTGAGTGAGAGATTTTGTATGGAGTGTCTCTAAGACCAGATGATGGTCTAATCAGGCATGTATGTTTGTGTGACATGCTGTTGTACAGTATTTCAACTTTGCTGTACTGTGGTGGTCAGGGTAGTGGAGTAACAGTGTATTTTACAATCTCATAGCCTCAGGGAATGAGTGAAACTAGTGTGTGCAATAGGATACATGTGTTTGTGTAACAAAACAATAGCAGATGACGAACGATGAGCTGTCTGAGCATGTAGGGAGTATAACATCATTACCTTTTACTTTCCCTCTCCTCCACACACAGAGCAAGCATTTGCGGCCATGTATGGATATGAGAAAGCAGAAATGAGACATAAAAGAAACCTAGATGATAGAGAAGCATGTGCTGAATTCTGTTCAGCTTGGCTGTGGTGAATCCAGCTCTGCCAAGTCACTCTCTTATAAGCAGCCAGCATCATTTCCTCATGCTTTCCTTTTGCTCCCTGCTTTCAAATGGTCTTATTTTGAAGGATGTCTCTGTACGGAGATTCACACTGTAGTGGACTGTAAAAGAAGAACCGGGTCTGTATTTAATCTTTATGGCTCCGTGCCGGGATACTCTGACAGGATTCGATGGAGATTTCAGAACAGACAAAGTCCTTTCATGCACATTTGTTTCTTCAGAGGGTTCTCCGAGAGAGTTCTCA